ACGAAAATAATTGATAAAACCATATTCTATTTTATCCATAGCTCCTTCCCTGACCAAGCAGGGTCAGAAGTAAGAAGAGGAACCCCATTTCACTTTCCTATGAAACATCATAGCATCCTTTAGGGAAAAGGAAGCACACTTCTCTCCTACAACCTCTGCAGCCAATCCCTGAAAGGCCTGTTTTCTGATAACTTTGACTTTTCTTTCTGTATAACTGCTGCCAAACATTCCCACAGATGACCTTTCTCTTTATTTAATATTCCCAAACTGGATTATTCCCTTGGAGGGGGGCTAAGTTGATGTTGACTCTGTAACATCAGAAATTTTCAGTGATGTCCTGTCTCCTTTGTGACCCGCTCTCAATGAATGTGATTGTCAATCACTAGGGTAGAAAATCTCAAGACAAGTGACCACTCAGAAAATCAACACTTGGCATAACCAGACACTCATGCTCTGGGCAACAACTCACTTTCGCGGTGGTTTTCAAATTAGCCTCATTCCTTTGGGCCCTGTGATGCCTCAGGAACCACCTCTGAGGTGCCAAGGGATGATAACCCTGGAGTCCCCACTTCACTTAGACTAACTCCATTGCTTTCTTAAGCTCCAAAGTTATCAATTGTTGTTCTGGAGTTCTATGTAATATTTCATTTGGAAAAAGAAGTTTTACTGCTTTCAAACTTTTAATGAAAAATATAGAAAACCATCACCTCACTGAACCTCTCTAGATGAGCTCATATTGTCAGACTCTTCCTTTCAAAAGATTTCTGTCCACTTACCTCAGTTCATTCACCTGCTTTACAGAAATAAGGGCATGTGCCAAAGTTTGGATATGTGTCAATTATATGTTAGGTGTGGGGGAACTGAAGATAAGACACACAATCCTTTTTTTAAAAAAAGATTTTATTTATTCATGAGAGACACAGGGAGAGGGGCAGAGACATAGACAGAGGGAGAAGCAACCTCCCTGTGGGGAGCCTGATGTGGGTCTTGACCCCAGGACTCCGGGATCACAACCTGAGCCAAAGTTGTCAGATGCTCAACCACTGAGCCACCCAGCTGCCCCAAGATGCACAATCTTTGTCTTAGTCTGGGTTCTGCCAGTAAAAGCAGAGCTGGAGTGAAAGACTTTTATCTGGGACTGTGAGCCCAGGGAGCAGGATAGCAGGGGAAGGTTTGTGAAGAGGGATGGGAGGAAGCCAACAAGAGGCTGCATCAGCACATTGGCCATCCATTCCCAATGCTCCAGCAGAAATCCAAAGTGCAGGGAGTTAATGCCCCTCCCCACTTGCAGCAAGCATTAAGTAAAGATGGCAGCAGTTGATGCATAAATATACTATAGCACTCTCACTCATGAGGTGGAGGTGAGCCATGGGGGTCCCTCCTCTTCATCGACTCCTAGTTTCCCAGCACGATTTAGTTCTAGTGGCCTACAGGAGGAACTGTTTTGGTGATGCGCCATTTGTCTCCTGACCTCCCCTCTCTCACTTCCCCACTCCATTACCAATGTTCTCTGCCAACCTCTTCCCAAGTATAGACTACTTGCACTTGAATCCTTGGCTCAGGGTTGGTTTGTAAGATAACCCGATCTAAGATAGAGATATTTAGCAGAATGTCAGAAATCTGGGTTTGGAATATTGGAGAGAGAAATTGAGCAAGAAACAGATTCAAAACCAAAGAGCACTTTTGTTTTCATACTACACAGTATCCAACATAATTCTCCAAGTACTATGGATAATTCTTAGATAAATTGATGCAGGGCTTAAGATACCACATGGCTAAACTAGTATTAATCTCCACTTCCAGTAGCACAATTGGTCCCCAAATAGCCCACTACCTTCTCTGAGTTTTACTAGTGTCTCACTAATGGCAACCAGTGGGACATCTAGGATATCTTCCTTGTTGGTGGAAGCTCTTGGTTTCTTAGGTGTTCCCACCTTTACTTGGGAATTTCTTTGTTCCTGGCTCGGTTCTCCGTTTGAACCAACCCCCATACTTACAGTGCTTGGAGAATGTCTCCATAGAAAAATAGGTGATTCTCAAGGGAAGAAACAAACCTTTGGAGTCAATCCACTCTCTGCCAAATACTCTGATCCTGTGAAAATGACATTTTAAATATCAATATTATTTTTAAAATGATTTTTTAAATGGTAGTGATAGAACAGCATAGATACTTAGATGTATTCATCAAACATTAACCCAGTGAGGACCACCGAAGCACCACTTTGCTTTTTTGTGCATTTGAAATGAAGGCTCTAGTCTTGGAAATACAATGGATGGTCGCTAGATATTTGTTGAAAGAACTTTCTAGGCATACATCTAAATTTTATATAATGTATCATTGACTGGGAAAGTTTTAGTTAGCCCTGAAGTGTGTGTGTGATGTGTGTGTGTGTGTGTGTGTGTGTGTGTGTGTGATGGAGCTTCAGACATATCTGCTCAGCTCTTGTCCTAGGGCAATAACAAATGAATCACGTAAAGAGAGAGGAATGTTGGAAAGCCTGCTGATCTTTTCCAACTCAAGCTTGTGATAGCGTTACTGAGATTGAGAATTTTTAGCTTGATAACAAGAACTCAAAATTCGGGTTTTTCTTAGGGACTCCTTCATTAATTAAGCAGATAATGAGCAAATGGTAGGTGAAAAAGAATTACTTTTAAGTAACGTACAACTGAAATCTGTCAGGCCTGGTGGTTTCCTTCTTCAAACCATTTTGTTTGTGGCCCATGTAATAGGTCACAATCACAGTGCTCCTGCCCAGCATGAACTGCCTTTGTGCTACTGAAAAGATGAATTTCAGAAGATGTAAGAACTACCGGATCGCTGACTCATTATATATTGAGCAGCTTGTATATTCAGATCACAGTATGTGGGGGTGGGTGCTGTGTACGGACAAAAGCAAAATCCCAATGCACTGGAATCAGCGTCTCCCTTAACATCCTGTTTACAGCTAAACATGTACAGACCCACTGTGCCTACCAGCCAGGAGGACAAACCACGTTTGTGCAGATCTGTGCTGCTTTTCAGTGAGGCTTTTTAGAAGGGTAGCCCGGAGTATTTTTGAATAATGAAGGTTATTTTTTCTTCCCCCCACATACCGGAGGGTTTTCCTATAGCCTTGACTATCAGCTTTTGAATCCCTGAAAGCCCTCACCACATAATACAGCTTTTTTTTTTTCAAAGAGTAGGGTATCAGGAAATTCTTTTTCTGAGATGAATAACACAGTTTTAAAGTGATTGCAGAGTTTCTGAAGTTAGTAGGACTTTGGAGAATACAGGACAACTTGAACTCAAGGTGCTTGAGACCCTTGTAAAAGTTTTATGGTTCTTTCATGCTTTTGCTTTTGTGGTTCACAAATGCAGAAAGACCTTGAGGGAGAGAAGAGGAAGCAAAATGTTATCAGAAGAAAAAAAAATCTTGTGAATACTACCTGGAGGGGAGAATGTGAAACTGGATCTTAATTTCCTTTTTGTTTTTTGTTTTGTTTTGTTTTGTTTTGTTTTTTTAGAAGAATGTCACTGCCTATGAAATATGAGGCCTGTGAAGGACAAAATGTTCCAAAGTCACTCCTTTAACAGCCCCCAAATTCCACATACGGGCTTTTTTTTCTTCCTCACGTGACTGATTGGTCAAATTGTAGGACTATAAAGGCTTTTCTCTGTTCACATATCTCATTCTTCCAGTTCCCCATCACCTCTCATTATTCACTAGATAAATATTCTTGTAATACCTACTATGTGCCAAGTACAGCGTCATGTTGTGAAGATCCAGAGTGGGAGATGATCGTGAGCCAAAAAACACATCTTCCTTCCTCTCTCAGAGTTTCCCATGCACAGATAGTATAATCACAAGTGCCAAGGAAAATAATAGAGGCCATGATAGCACAGGAAGGCCTGTCTGCCCTGGGGCTCGGGAAACAGGCCCGCATAAGGCAATCATGTTTGAGCTGAAAACTGAAGGGGCATTTCAGACTGAGGGAAGAACCTGGAAATGGCCTCTGGGACAAGAAAGAAGGTGGATGCTATTGACCACAGAAAGGCCAGAATTCAAAGGGGCGGGGGGGGGGGGGTATATGCTCCAGATGTAAGTCTGAGCAGTTCAGAGAGCTGCCTATTTTGATCTCTTCTGTTTTTTTGTCTTTATGTTACAGAAAGTGGGCAGCTGTTAAGGGGTTTGAAAGGGAGATATGACAAGATTTGATGGGTGTTTTGGAAAGACCACTCTGGCTAGAAGGTGGATAAGAGGTTGGAAGGCAGCAAGAGGGGTTATGGGGGGAGCAGTTCAAAGGCTGTGGCTGTATTCCCTGCAAGAGATGGTAGTGACTTGAAATGGGGTGATGGTGGAAGAGAGAGAATTGGAGAGTTTCTTGAGATATTTAGGCCAGTGTCTGAGGGCTGGATTGGAGAGTAAGGCATGGAGGATGATGCCAGGTTCTAGCTGGATATGGGGCCATTAACCAAGAGGCAGAGTAGGAGAGGAAGACCAGGGGTTTGTGTGTGTGTGTGTGTGTGTGTGTGTGTGTGTGTAAGTAGGTAGGGGAGAGGGAGATGTGCATGGCAACAAAAGGAAGGAGGAGAAGATAATCACCCCTACACCTCCAATCTCTCCAGCCATAGTAATGACTCAAATTTCTGACCGGGACCCACAATGAGACATGTTTTTACACAGCCTCGGGCACACAGACAGGCTCCATAGAAATTCACAAAACAGTGCTTTCTTGTTTCGAGGGCAATGCAGGGACACTTCCTATATTACTCTTTCAAAACCCCCCAAACCCCAGCATGGCCTGCAAGGCGGTGATGGCGGCCATGACGTCGGCTGTGATGGCAGTGGCCACCTCTGTGGCGTCGTCTGCGTTGTCCTTTTGTGACGCAGGGTCAGAGTCAGACCGCCAGCACCTTGGGACCAGCGTCCAGAACAGACTGAGCGGCAGTTTCAGCCAGGAGAGCAGGCAGGCGGCTGCGGCGGCCCAACCCTCGCCCCGCAGCCCTTGGCTCCTCAGGCATGGCGGCCTCCGCCGCCTCGCAGCGGCCCATCAAGGGGATTCTGAAGAATAAAAGCTCCACTGCTTCCTCTGTGGCGGCCTCCTCCCCACAGTCCGGAGGGAACATCCAGGAAGTACAGAGAAAAAAGTCCCAAAAATGGGATGAATCCAACATCCTGGCAACACACCGTCCGGCCTACAGAGACTATGACTTAATGAAGATAAACGAGCCCAGCAGCCCCCACTTCAGCCAGCAAGACTACGGAGAAGACCCAGCGACCGACTTGGACGCAAAGGGCACCATGAGCCCGGACACCGTAGCTAAGAAACTGGCCGCCAGTGGGACCTCGCAACGGAGCGGTCAGGTGGGGGAGCCCGACAGCGATGGGGCACACAGTAGCAAGACCTTTTTCGACGCGCTGGAAAAGCAGCTGCAGTTTGAAATGAAAAGGAAACTACACCACAACGAAGGCCTGAACATCCAGCTGGCGAGACAACTCATCTCCAACGACCTGCAGCACGAGAAAGACGAGGATGACAACGAAGAAACAACACTTGGTGACAACGAAGACAACACTGCCCTGCAAGAATCATCGGATGAAGTTTCTACAAGTGACGAACTGCAAACCCAGCCGTTCCACAGCTAGCTGACCCTCGCTCCGCCCCACCACCGCTGGCCGCCTACCACCAACCCGGTCACCCTAACGTACCGCGGCTTCTTCTGTACGGTCCGGGCCGCAAGGGCCGGGACACCCAGCAGTCCACCTGCCCCTGGATCACTCCGTGGTGGACTTATAAAATGACACATTAAAGGCAGAATGACTGCTTGATGTTGTTTGTGCGTGGTTCTTTGCGCCAAATACAGATCCTGAGAGCGATTTCAAACCGCGTTCCTTAAAAAAAAAAATGTTGGGTACTGTATAGATTAGCTAGCTCCTTAGATGATAAAGGGACTAATTTATATTCGCTAGCTTTCCTCATGTGTTCGCTTTTATAGAAAGGTTTGGTTACGAAATCGAAGTGCAATAGGTACAGTTAGGTTACTTAGTCTGATGAATATTTGGGCCAAAAAAACACCTGTCTTTGGGGGGGATTTGCCGGTTTAACTGGGTGGGGCAAGAGTTGCATTTTCCTTGGGCTTAGTGCCTTAACATTTTCTCTGAATTTTCTTTCAGTGCTTAACAGGGGAATGCTACCTTTTTTCCCTCCACAAAAAAATAGTTCTTTTTCATTAATTACTGGGTTAAAATTGTGCCAGTGTCTATTCGGACTGTGTCCTGTCCACCAGGTGGGCAGATTTGGTGTCAGTATTTTAAAACATCTAATGTTATCTCCGTACTCCCTTCTCATAACTGTCTTAGCCTCAACTCTTAGTTCCCTCAGTCCTCAGGGCACATACACACAGCACCTTTTATGGAGTATCTTCGATTCTCAAGACATTGGGAACCCTTCTTTCTCTCAGATATTCTATCATTTGTTGAAACAGTGTTATTTCTACTTTGATCACTATGGCCTATTCAGTCTTCTGAGGTGTGGAGAAATAGGAAATAGACTTCAACTGCCAACTTTTTCTGCCTTTTTGGTTTATAGCTTGCTAAATAATTTGCTATTATTACTTTATTGTTTGACCTAGTTAGCTTTTTGAAAACAACTGAGCTTTTCTTTTGTGACAGATTCCTCCGAGCCAGTGACATGATTATAGCTCCTGGACAGAAGTAAGTCCAAAGGTCTTTCATGAGTGATTTTTTTTCCTTTTTATTTAAAATTTTACTGAGATAATTGGAGGTTCACATGCCATTGTGAGAAGTGATACACAGAGATGTTGAGCTCTTTTTACCCGGCTTCCCTCCGTGGGTAACTCTTTTAGGGTTCCTGGACCCAGTCCTGATGTGGGAGGAGGGGCTTCCCCCACACACAGCAAGCAATTCTCATGCTACCTGAAGAATAGCATCCAATTCCTCAGGTTAAGGATTCGGTCTTGCTCCCATTTGAGACCCTAGTCAGTACCGAAGCCTGGCCCCTTTGCTTCTGACCAACCAGCTACAGATTGCGGGTTCCTACCACGAAGAACTTAGGTTTGATTAGTTTGCTAGGGCAGTTCACAGAACTCAGGCAAAACAGTTACATTTGGCAGTTTATTAAAGGATATGAGTCAATAGCCAAATGAAGAGATACACAGGGGGAGGTCCTGAACAAAGGAGCTTCTGTTGTCATGGAGCTTGGATCTGGTTCCACAAGCATGAAAATTCTCTAAAAAAAAAAGACCAAAAAATCCTTAGAGTCTTACAGAGGCTTTATTACAAAGTTAAGATTGACTAAGTCATTGGCCATAGGCTAATTCAACCTTCAGCATCTCCTCCCCCGAGGTCGGGGGGTGGGGCTCACTTTCAACCCAATAATCACATGGCTGGTTCCCCTGGCAACCAGCCCTTGCCCTTGGGTGAGGTCTAAAAGTCACTTTCATTAACAGCAAGACACCCATTTCACCTTTATGGCTCCTAATTTTCTTTCAGTGCTTACAGGGGAATGCTACCTTTTTCAGGAACTGTGGATGAAGTCCAAATATATCTGAGATATATGATTTGGGTCATTTGGATGAACAAATATATTCTACTCATAAATCATTATACCCCCAATAATATGTTGCAGAACTATAACCTCACGCTGCAACCCAGATATTGACATTAATACGATCAAGATACAGAACATTCCATCACCACAAGGATCCCTCATGTTGCCCTTTTGTAGCCACATCTGTTCTCCATTTCTAGAATTTTGTCATTTTAAGAATGTTCTATAAATGAAATCATACAGTATTTAACCTTTTGGGATGTACCACTCTTTGTATATCCATCCATCCACTGAAGTTCATCTGGACTGGTTCCAGTTTTGGGTATAACAAAAGAAACTGCTATGAACATTCGTGTACAGGTTTTTGTGTGAACATAAGTTTTCACTTTTCTGGGATAAATGCCCGGGAGTGCACTTGCCGGCTCGTATGGTGGTTGCAGTTTCTTAAGAAACTGCCAAACTGTTTTCCAGAGTGGCTGTGCCATTTTATATTCCCACCAGCATATATGAGCATTCCAGTTTCTCTGCATCCTTACCAACACTTGGTGTTGTCACTATTTTTGAGTCTTTTTTTTTATATAAAAGTGTCTTGATGTCCCAATTTGCATTTTACTAATGGCTAATAATGTTGCACATCTTTCCACGTGCTTGTTTGCAAGCACGATACATCATCATCTGTGAAATGTCATTTGTCCATTTTCTAGTTTGATTATCTGTTTTTACTGTTGAGTTTTGAGAGTTCTTTGATTTGCAAATCTTTTCTTATAATCTGTAGCTTATTTTACCCTCCTATGGAGACTTTTGCTCTGCAAGAGGTTTCAGTTTTGATGCAGTTTAATTTATCAGTTTTTTTTCCTTTTATGCATGGTGCTCTTGGTACCCTACTCAAATGCAATCCAGAACAATTTTTTTTTTCCAAATCGTGATTTCCTAATTAATTGACATGGTCTTGGGCTGTACGGAAAATGGATTTTTATTTTTTAAGTTATTAAGTATTGAGTTTCCTTTGGAGAAAGAAATCTGAGTGTTCAGTTTCAGTTTCAACTCTTTATCAATGTCAGCTCCTCTAGTAACTCCTCTCATGTTAGCCTTTGTTTACTCATTTTTCAGTCTGAGATTCAGCAAGGCTGGTCATTTAAAATCTGGGACATATAATAGGATAAATGGGTTGTCAAATAAGAGTAACTTCCCCTTTAAGGGTAAGGCAATTACATGTACCCCTAGACTTTGAAATTGTTTGCATTCCCCCCTACATTAGTACACTAAATAACATGTAATAAGGCATAATAATATAAAAGAATGGTAGTCAAGAGCCACTAAATTGGTTCCTTTCAGTTGCAGCCTGTAATCTGAAAAACACTGAACTCAGAGGATCTTAATATTTTCAGTTAAAGGATTCTGTTCTTCTTCGTGTGCAAATATCACCTGGGAATAACATTATAGGTGCTTATAAGCCATTCACATCTTAGAATAAATGAAGAAGAATTTATATCAAGAATTTGATTGGGGAGTAGGCCAAAATTGGGGGTCATTATAAAAACAAAAGGAGAGAAGGAGGTAGCCAGAGTGAGGAGTTGGGAAGGGAGGGGAAAAAATGAGGGGAAAAAAAAAGAATGAAGGATTGAATTCACTGGCTCTAAAAGTTACGACTGGCTCTCAATGAGTCATTAACTCTCTGAACTATCATAAAAAGGACACAAAATCTTACTGACGGGATGATAAGGAAAAGAATAATTCTCTTTTCCACCCAACCAAATAATTATATCAATACTATTACCAGTACTACGACTAATAATTGCCATTTACTGAGTATATGTGACGTGTCGGACACTGTACTGGGGCGTCAAAAACATTGTCTCCTTCAGTTATGCCAACAACTCTTTGAAATAGTATTTTTCCCATTTTAGAGGTAAGAAAATTTATTTATTTTTGAAGATTTTATTTGTTCATGAGAGACACACAGAGAGAGGCAGAGACAGAGGGAGAGGAAGAAGCAGGCTTCCTGCGGGGAAGGGGAACTTAGCTAGAAACTGGTGAGAGGGGACAGAGTGAGGAGGACAGATAAGTAAATGCAGACAAAATGAGGCTCTGAAAAAGACATTTGAGAATAAGAGAGTGATGATGTGTGTAGGGTCACACCACTCAGAAGCCACTTCTGACATTTGTCATCAAATAGCCCCCTTCCCACCCTTTTTTAAAAAGATTTTATTTGTCTGAGAGAGAGAGAGATGGGGGAGAGCACAAGCAGGGCAAAGGGGAGAGGGAGAAAGACAAGCCTACTCTCTGCCGAGCAGGGAGCCCGACTCAGGGCTCCATCCCAGGACCCTGAGATCATGACCTGTGAGCTGAAGGCAGACTCTTAACTGACTGAGCCACCCAGGCGCCCCTGTTCTCTAGCTTTCCCCATCCCCTGCCCCAGTCTCAGGTGGCAGTTGAGTTTCCCCCTCCATGTTGGTGACTGTTCACATTTTTGTTTACCCAATACAATATGGCACTTGGAGCAATAGGATCATTAAGAAGAAATGTGGGCAAGGAGAGAGATGAAGGATGGAGACTCGAAAACCCAGATTTGTGGTGGAAGACAATCCGAATTTTTTAAAGAAAACACCTGATCAAATTAGTGCTGCCATTTCAACATGGGGCGGGGGGAGGATTCAGTCCATAAACAATGGATGTGACATTTAATACACATCAGAGGTGGGGGTGAAAGAGGCTGAGCTCTCTGCCAGTGTCCACACTGGTTGAGCTTTAGCACCTGAAGCTGCACACGCAGGGGTTTTTGGAGGATTTAAGGATACAGTCTGGGAAAAGTCTGGGGAAAGCCAAAAATTATGGGTGCATGTGTATTCGTGTGTATGTGTGTGTGTGCATGTGCGTGTGTGCAGGGGGGAAGTTGCCAGAGGGCTTTCTTCCTCATCAGTGTAAACACAGTTCTCTAATACAAGGTTATACATTATTAGCTCCTAAAAAATATAAAGGATTGTTTTTATCACTGTGTAGGCAGAGCGTTTTTGCATCACGGAACCTGCCTATGCATGTTGGATACTAATGTCTTATTCTTTCAAGGAGCCTTTTT